GATCATAAATGATAAACCTATGAAACAATCTCTTGAGTCTAGATAGTTGAGACCATTACATGATGTTTAAGCAAATACAATAGAATGAAATACAGAAAAGTACATAAGGCTCCATTAATCTTGAAGATTTCTCTTACTGCACATCTTAAGATGCCTCCACAGTGAAACTGTCCCATTCTTATTAGGACAACGTCCAAAAACCTTCATGCAATGGTTGCATTGAAGCTTGACCTCCCCCTCTTATTCAACTTGAGTGAAATTCTCCCAAATTTTGCTTCTTCTAGCCCTGACGTCCATTGCTTATGAAAAAAAGAAACGAAAAGAAAAGAATTACATAATCAATCAAACAAGATTCTATCTTCTACATTGTGTACAATTAATTTCCTATAGTTTTTCGACTACTTTCAATAGTTCACATATTTATAAATATTATCCCTATACTTTTCTAACTAATATACATAATTAAAACATTTTAATTGACTACTATAATAATTCTAGATAATCAACACATTTTAATTGACTACTAATATAATTATACAAAATTAACACATTTTAATAAACTACTTACATCATTCTAGATAAACAACACATTTTTTTGTGAATAAGCAACACATTTTTATCGACTACTAACATAATTCCTCAAAATGATCACATTTTAATCAACTACTAACATAATTCTGCAAAATTGTCTTTTTTCATATAACTGTGGGCGGCAATTAGGTTGGGATGTGGGGAAATTTCAATTTTGGATTAAATATTGGGGGAGGTAGGAGGGAATTTTCAATTTTGGATCAAATATTGGGGGAAGGGGGTTTATGAGAGGGATTTATTAAAAAAAAGGGTTTGCAAGGGAATTTTTGAGAAAATATTTGGGGGTTTTGAATTTTGCATTCAAAAAATTTCCATTAACATCTAGTTCTTCCTTTCTTTGATATTTATTATTATAGATGGTAAATTTTATAGCAATTAACTAGTTTGTTAAAATCAAATTAATTAATAAACTATAAAAATCAAAATATCCAACATAAAGCATAACCATAAATAAACCCTAAACAATGACCCTATACCCTATACTATAGCTATATGTTATGAAATTGTTAGTATAAGCTATACGTATGTTATGTGAAGAATGTAAGTTGAGTCAATTTTATATTCGGTTATTGAGAAGAACATACGTCCTATGACTCCAAACTCTAAACCACGAGTCCACTACCATATACCCTATACACTAACCTTAAACCATGAACTATAGTTATGCGTTATGAAATTGTTGGTATAAAGTATAAATTATAACGTATGATATGTGAAGAATGTTAGTTAAGTCAATTTTGTATTCAGTTATTGAGAAGAACATACGTCCTAATCCTCCGAACTCTAAACCACGAGTCCACTACCGTATACCTTATACATCATAGTTAGTAAATACTCCGTTTAATAACACGTTTAATATCCGTATTTAATGAAATGAATTATTAACTTTACTATTTTTTACATATTGATTTGTTTATAAAAGTAATTAGTTTTATATATTTATAACTATTAACGTACTATTAAACATAACATTAACTAACATTTTTGCTTTTGAGTCGGTTTTACTTGTAACCGACACAACTATTTTTGCTTTTGATCGATTTTGTTCTGAACCGACACAATTCCACTTACCGCCCAAATTTATTAGTGTTTTAAATGACCGCCAAAATTTTAGCGGCCAAATTTCCATACCCGCCCAAAAATTTCACCCCAACCATTCTAATTTTCATTTGCCACCCATTCCAATTTCCTTTATTATTTAATCTTTACTCATTTTCCGAAACCCAACATATCACGATCCTCCTTCCTTGTGCCCATCTCTCCCCCTCCCCTGCCTTCTCTCTTCTCCAACGAACAAAACACAAACCCAGCAACCCTCTTCTCCTCCCATGTGTTCTCTCCTCATCTCTGATGCTTCCCCTGCCCTCTCTCCTCCTCTCCGGCGCTTCCCCTGCCGCCATCGAGACCTCCTCTTCATCGAGCAGCAAGCAATCGCCACCGCCTTCAATCTCCAGGAATCGCTCGCCACCTTGGAGAACAACCGAAGAAGATCCACCACTCGATCTGTCTTCCCAGCGCTTGATCTGGGGATTTTTCCTTAACCTCTGCCTGCTCGTTCACCTGCGCTTCCCCAAATCGAAGAAGACTGGTGTTGATTTCTTGATTTTCTGGATTTAGAGGATGAAAAGAGGCCAGTTGAATGGATTTTGAGGGTTTTGATTTATGGGTTTGAGGGTTGTATATTTTGGGTTTCAAAGGGTCGAGTTCTGGGTTTGAGAGTTCCAATTGTTCGGCTTGGTGCTTGCATGTTTTGGATTTTTTCGGGGTTTCAGTGATGAACGATGAAGAGATTGGACGACCACGATCTGACGAGGAAGTGGAGGGAATTTCAGGCCGGCTTCGACAACCTTCGGTCGATGTGGGTTTTGCTTGATCTTTCTATTGCTTTTTCGGCGCCGCAACCTTGGTTTGGCGAAAGGGTGTGACAGAGGACAGTGGGCAGGCGGAGAGGCAGCATCGATCTAGGATCTGGCCAGGCAGAGAAGAAGCGTCGATCTGGAAGCAATTTTGGCCGGCGGTGAAAATTTTGACTTGCGGTGACTCTGGTTCTGCTGGTCAAAACTATGTTTTTCTTCTAAACTATGTCTTTCTTGTAGTTCATGTACCTTGAATTGGAAAGACCATCACAGAAGCCAACTAAACTAGTCCACGCAATTTTTTTGTTACAATTCGAACTTATTTTTACTTGGTTCAACTGAATGGCAGTTTTTATTTGTCAACACAAAGTAAACCTTTGTTCTTGGTGGGAAAGAAGAAAAAATAATAGGGCAAGTCACGTAACTTTATATATATATTATCTACATATAATATTTATGCACAAAAATATATTATGTAGTATTATTCGTGCCAATCGGGCGGGTTCGGGTTGGGTTAATCGGGTTCGGGTTAGTCGGGTTGCGGGTCAAGCGGGTTGTGGGTCAAGCGGGTTGCGGGTCAAGCGGGTTGCGGGTCAATCAGGTTCGGGTCAAGCGGGTTGCGGGTCAAGCGGGTTACGGGTCAGGCGGGTTGCGGGTCAAGCGGGTTACGGGTCGGGCGGGTTGCGGGTCTTTGACTTTTAGTCCAATCGGGTTGCGGGCGGATCGCGGATCGGGTTGGTTGGGCGAGTTACTCGGGTCGGGTCATGTTTTGACACCTATACTACCCATGTTCGCCCTTCGACAAATAACTTTATTGGAAATATCGTAACAATCCATTTTGACACTTACAACTTACAAGGGAGCTTTTGTGACAATGGGGTGAGTGCAAGTGGCTATATAAAGGAAAATTTATGCATTAAACCCTTTAAATACTAATTTATTTCTAAATCATATAATTATTAAGCGCAATGAACTAATTAGTGTAATTAGACATAATTTATTTTTAAATTTAAATACTAAACATAATTTATTTATAAATTATACAAGTAATAATTACAGCCAACTCATTAGCAAATTAGACATAATTTATCGCAAAATTGAAACACGGAATATTATTTATTTCTAAATTATACAATTCATAATAATAATAAAAATGCAAATCCTCCCAAAATACCCTCGGACCAAAAAAGATAAAGGTTGGACTCAGGTGCAGGCGAAATTTTTTGACCGCCGGAACCAGGACTAGCAGAGGGAATTGGTCGACCTTGACTTGGTCGGGCCAAAGAATTCCTTCAGCTAGCCCTGGTGCCGGGTGCCGGATTTTTTAGGCTAGACAGGCTCCGACTAGTTGATTTCTTCGACTCGGCTTGGTTCCAGTCAATTTTTTTGGCCTGGCCTCGTTTCAACCTCTACCGTTTTCGACCCGATGGTCTACCACAACCAAAATCGTAGGAAAAATTACATCATGACAAAATCTTGAAAAATACTTCGTTGGTGGCAACTAAAGAGGCATTAGACCAAACGACGAAAAATACAACAACTTTAGCCTTTTCGGACAGTTTTTTCGATTTCTGCAAGTTATGAGAATTTTTTTTTTTTTTTTTTTTGCCATAGGTATCCCAAAAGGGAGACGACAAGATACGAGTTCATAATGACTTTTGCAGGTCGAATCATAAAACAGAGGAAAGGTAGGAACTTTGGTCGACCATAAGGCGATCCAAAGATAAGAGGGCTTGTTTTGCCACGAAATGGGCAGCCCTATTATACCTACGAGGTGCGAAGTGGAACGAGACACGCTGAAGAGAGGAGCGAAGGGTCTGGACCTCGGATAAGAGAGCACCACCCAGAGCGTGCGACGTATCCTTCGCGTTGACCATCCGTATGATCACCTACGCATCACCACAGAAGCTTACATTAGTAATGGAATGAGATAAGCACCATCGGAGGGCATCTCTCAGAGCTATAAGTTCAATGAGGAAGGGGTCACTTATAAAATCATAGAAACGCCCAAAAGCAAAGACCACTGATTGATTTCCTGAGAATCCAACAAAATCAATAGCTCCACCCACTGAAGCCTTGGTAGCTCCGTCAAAGTGGACAAGTGTTGCTCCAGATGGGATGGTCGGTGGTCCTGGGTTCCGATTCATAGGGGGAATAGGAGAACTACGACGGGATTGGGCAGCGACTTCTTGGGCGGAAGCCCATTCAGCAACTTGGGATTCCATCTGGCGAAACATTGTTGAAGGAAGAAATTGGGTGTTGTCGTAAGCTGTCGAACATCGGGATTTCCAAATCCGCCAATACAGGAATACTAGTCGGGTGATGGTAGCCACAGGAATACCTGCATCAAAGAAAAACCACCTCCAACCAATAACTATATGGCAATGAGCAACCTGCACACGCAAATAAGTTAGACCCACTAATTCCCATAGTTCCACAGCTACTCTGCAATGGCAAGTTATGAGAATTGGATGTGTTGGAACATGTGAATGAATGGTCCACCATGGCTGTATTTAAATAAAATTGATTTAGAAATATAATCATAAAATTGACAACAAATAGTAATCTGTTGCGGCAAATAGTATGCGCTTAATAATATGATATATTTCATTGGTAATATATCGGGATAGTATCAGTATGGACCAAAACCGAGGCAGAACAAACCTTTCTTACATGTGGACCATACCAACTTGACTAGCAGTCGATGATTTTAAGCTCCAGTATCTAGTACATAAATATGGTGCATGGGTTTCAAGAGACGGCAATACTTCAATCGTTCTCATGCTGGAACTTGAGAACATTCAGGAAGGAAGCAACCTAAATAGTCGATGATTTTGTGTGTTTCGAGCAACTTCTTTCTCTTCTTTTATGGGTTTGCTATAACATGAATTTTCATAACTCTATTTCCAATACTTCCAAAAGTAGCAGTCTAATCAAATGGTTACTGCTCTCGTTTAAACATGGGATGGCTCAGGCGCAGAACAGCTTCTATTTGTTTGTTTCCCCGTTTGTGTTCTTGTCGTAGTCCCTCCTCCCCAATTGCTGAGCACAATAGGTAAAGCAATCCACTCCAAACATTCTTTCAGTAATCTGAAATCTCTAGCTGGAAAACTTGGCAATCAACTTGTCGACGTGGATGATGATGTCATCAATGCGAGGGCGAACTGCTGCTTGCGGCTGAAGCATCCACGTCACAAACTGGTGCAGAGCTTCTGGATATGGAAGCTTAGTTCCAGCTGGCCACTTTATCTGTGCATTTAGGACTGCCAGTTGTAGGCTCCCCCCAGACTCTCCAAGAGCATACTCAAATGGAGATACACCATACCTGTATGTATGGATCAGCCATATATTGAGAACGTCAAAGCAAACAAGGCAGGTAACTAACTGCAAGGTCTGAGACATCAATGACATCTGAACTACAATTTTTAACATATTACGGCAAACTTTATCAACCACAGGCACAACCTAAGCGACGTTTCTGGGGATTTAAATGGTAAAATAGTAAGACATTGATCTCACATGGTTGCATAAAGTGTGCATCCCAAAGACCAAACATCGGTCCTCTCATCAATATCTGCGTGACTTGGGCAATCCCAAAACTCAGGAGCTCTAAAAGGTGCTGAACAATGCTCCGCTGCCCATTCCTAATAGCAACACGCACAAGGGGAGCCACAAGCATACGTTTAAAATCATAGATGAGTAAGATCAGCAACAAATATACATAGAAGACGCAGACAATAAGGAATTCCAAAAGTATTTGCACCTGCACGAGTATGCAGGCAAACGAAATCACCATGCAGATCTAGAGATTGACAACTTGAACAATATTTGTACCAAAAATTGAAAATAATGAATAGGTATAGAGATTGTAAGCAGAAGATTGCCAAAAATTGAAAATAATGACTATGTACCTGCAGTTGTAGTGCCTCTGTTCTTGAACGAATTTGCTTTCTTGCAGGTCGAGCACTGCCAAAATCCATCAATATGGCAAGAGGTGACTGCCCTTTCCTATGTGTTACAAGGACATTTCCGGGTTTCACATCATTGTGTGCATATGGAGGCTCAAGACTATGCATGTGCTTCAATCCTGCACAAAGCTGTGGTACTTTTTTTTCTCAGTGAATAATATAGTTACAGACCAAAAAAATCCCTACCTTGTATCTACCGAAGTGGTCAGAGACAAAGAACTGAAAACTTGAGAGGAAAGGAAAAAGTGAATGCAAGAAGCAAAAAGAGGAACAAAGTTTGACAAGTGGCCTTCATCACCGAGCTTTGACTAGCTAAATTATGGTCACAACCAAGCAATAAGAACAACTCTGACCAAACAATGTATCAGGCTTCATAAAATTATGTGAATTTTGGGTCATGCATATATAGATTTTAGCCGTATGGAGCAATTAAACCTGGATGGAGAACACATACAGTTTCAAGTAATAACACAGCAAAAAGAAGCAAGGAGTCTAGATGTCAGTCACCTGCCGAAATATCTGAAGAACATCCGAGGTTGAGAAGAACTCTTTCTTCGCCATCATTGCTTTTGAATTGTCCAGCAAGGTTCCATCCAAGTGCACTGGAAACAGTAAATATGCTTCGTGGTTCCAGGATGATTCTTGTGTAGTCTAAGTAAACGTTGAAGGGTAAATTGATTTTGCATGATAATAGGGGAAGATGCAGAAAAACTTCCTAAGGACAAAAAAATTCCGGGCGCAAACAAGACATAATAGAGTACGTAGCAACCTACTGAGAATCAGGCATCTGTTTGAAGGCCCCATTGCATGTATAGCAGAAAACAATGTGCCAGTTGATGGCAAATTCTTAACCAAGCCCTGCTAGCTACACATATTTAGAACCCTTTTTACCTTCCATCCAAGAGTGGCTTCCAACTATACTCCAGCATGGAGTATTGCCCATTTGGAAGAGTAGATGTTCCTCTAGGATGAACAGGAAACAATAACAAAAGCAAACTTCCAACTCGAGCCAATAGGAAAGGACAATAATGGATGAAGATCAACCAGAGAGAGATGGTTGGCTTGTGCTTTGAGTCATCAACAGTGAATACCAGTTCAAAACAGCATGATAATGCCTCCATTACCTAAAAACTCTCACTCAGGGATTCGATCAATTATTCAAGAGGCAAAATGTTTTTACTTCATCTGTTATGTTACCTTTGAGGATCAGCTGTATAGTTAGTAGATGATTAACATACTTCAGATTAACACCGATTAGACATCATGTTTTGTTATTTATTTTTCTCCCTTTTAAATACCTAAAAGAGGATGGTATACTGGAAATTACATGTCACAAGGAAACCACTGCAATCTGGGGAATGATTCCAGCACAATAACGATAGGGAACAAACAAACAAACAAACAAAAGAAAATGCCAAAGGACAGCACAGACTTTCTCTCAGGCTAGATTGACTTGGTGTTTTGCCAACCACATTTCTAGGCTCTGAAAAAGGTGCAGATCATTAACGGACAAACTCACACATACAGAGGATTGTGTCAATTACCTTAACCGCAATGATAGCATGATCCAGAAGAGGAAGAAGATTTGGGTGGCTAAACAATGATGAAACACGAATCTCTTCCCGCACCAATTCCAGCTGCTCATTGTTCTGAATAAGAACCTTCTTCATTGCATAAGTTCCATCTTCTGCATTCAGATTAACACTCTTACTCAAGTCCTGAAAACCAGTGCTCACCAGAAATCACGCACATCTATAAGGTCATCCAGACATGTATTAGTGTTCGATGCCAAAGACTAGCCTTGATTTGAATTCCTATCCCCAGATCGCAATCGGCACAAAGTTTCCGTTTTACCCAACGTACAAAGGACCCTCTTAAAGAATATATCCATACGACTCGCAAACAATAGTAACAACTAATAAAAACTCTGATATCTTTCATGGAACTTCCAAATCCGAAAGCTCAGCTTGGCATAGAGGTGAAATCCTCAAAACACCACCGGCATAATCAGAACACCGAGCAACTAACGTAGTTAACGATCTGTACTGAATGTTGATTCAACATCCACCGACAAACTTAAAACTGCAATTCGCCTGCCGCGGATCGCATAGCTCATTATATGTTAGACGACGAGATTCAAACAGTAACCGCACCCAGATCAGAAACACGACCCATACGAAATCAGAAGCGCGAAAAAAGAAAAGGAAAGGAGGGAGGGAGGGAGGGAGGGGTATTCACCGGAAAGATGAGATTTGTCCTTGACTTTGGTGGTGAGACCAGTGCCGGGGCCTGAGGAATTGTCGGCGGGCACCTCTTTGACCAAGAAAACAAAGGCGAAGCCACCTTCTCCGAGCTGCCTAAGGATTCTGAAACGGTTCTCGTTGATCCAGACATCTCCACCACCGTTCACGGCGTCATAGAGGGTATTCAGCCCCGAGAAAGTACAGCCCATGATGACTTTCTTCCCCTTGTTCCTGAGAATGTGTCTGCGGAAGAAAGAACAACAAAATTGAGCAGTGGGCAGGGGATAGATCCCTTTTACAAACGCTGTTTGGGGCTAATTATCGGTGACAAAACTATTCTTGTTACAAACCTTTAATTTTAAAGATTTGTTATTAATTGTCCTACTTTTTATTAATCATCATCCAAAACATGATGTAAAAAGTCATAAATGTCCTTAATAAATATCATATTCTTATAACAAGAATATGATATTTATGTTATGAGAATATGAAATTATTATGTAAATATTGATATATGAATGACCAATGACCTACCACATTAGATGCTCACTTGAGAGTTACACGTAATCCCTATTTCTACATTATTATCTCTCATTCATATGTAGCCAAAAATCGATGGCTAATATCATTGATCCTCTTGTTTGGAAAGGAATGTGGGCACTCGACGTCCCGCCAAAGCTCAAGTTCTTTATATGGCAATGTTTGAAAGTTATTTTGCCAATTATGACGGCTCTTAGGTCCCGGGGAATTAACTGTCAAGCTTGTTGTCCAGTTTGTTGGGATAGTCAAGAGAGTATTGAACACCTCTCCTTTCATTGTCCACTTGCTTTTCACCTCTGGAATATGGTGGGACTAAGTAGCTTACTTCTCTCCGTCCCAACTGAAAACTTTGGGATCTGGTGGCGATATGTTATGAACTCGGAAAGCTTCCAAATCCACTATCTCCCCTGCATTTGCCTTCTTCGGAGAATTTGGAAATCTAGAAATAAAGTGGTTTTTGAATTCACTCAACCACTAGCCAGTTCTCTTTCCCGTCAATTCTTCTTCCAAGTTCAAGAATACTCCTCAGTCTCCCCCCACCCCCAGTTCATTCCTCCTCGCTTGCTGCCCTCTCGTCCTTCCAGTTGGGTTGGTCCTCCCGAAGGTTTTCTCAAGATCAATTTCGACGCTGCTGTTCAAGATGCGGGTTGCTGGTCAGGCCTCGTAGTTCGAGGTCCGGATGGGCAAGTCTTCTTGGCCTTGGGGTTCCTTCATCCAGGAATTTCGAATCCTTATCTTGCAGAGCTGCTGGTTGCCAAGGACGCCATCGCTTTAGTGCTTTCTCGCAGTATTCCTCTCGTCATCATTGAAGGTGATTCAGAAGTAGTTATTCGGCAACTTGAAGACAGATGCTTTGAAGACTCGATGGGCGGGCCCTTACTTCGTGATTGTTTTCAGTTGTTGAGTTCATGTTCTTCTTGTATTCTTTTTAGCTCGGTCCCGAGGACTGTCAACTGGGCTGCCCATAGAGTGGCAAGACAAGCAGCGACGGATCCAGGATATAATAGAGCACTGGGTCGCATTTTGAATAGAATACTAGATATTGTAAATAAAAAATTTCGGGTAAACAAAATTTATTAGCTAACCTTTTCGAAGTTTTTGAATTATTAGCCAAACTTTCAAAATACAAAGTATTAGTCAAATGTTAACTTACTGTTAGCAGTTTTGTTAGTAATATTGACTTGGCAACATTATACTGACTTGGAAGAGACACGTGGTAGCCAATATTCTAAAATTTTAGTATTTCAATTAAGAAAATAGTTTCAAAAGTACCAACGATAACAAACAATGGCTAATATTTTGATGCGTTGCAAAAGATTTGGCTACTATCTTGTATTTGGAAAGTTTTGGCTTATAATTTGGAAAGCTTGAAATGTTTGGCTAATAAATTGTAGTTTTCGTTCATTACAAATGCCAATTGTACTAGAAGGCTTTTTAACTTGACAACTCCATCAATAATATAATTGTATGCTAAATTGAGTGTAGTTGATTGGATATGTTCATCTAGATTATTTTCCTAGCTACACAAAATCCTATTATCAAATAACACTCGTCAACTTTTAAATAGCACTGGGCCAAATATCTAAAATCGAAAAATTTATAAGCGTTGTACAATCTATACTAGCTCTGGATTCGGAAGAGGGTTGGGCCGTGGCCCGGGTTGGCCCAGCCCTAGATCCTCCGATGAAGACAAGCCCTGGTGTCTTCTTTTTTTTTGGGTGTTGGGTAGAGGATTTAACTATGGTACTTTGATATTACTTGGTAAAAAAAAAAGATGTAGTGGTTACCAAAGTGTGCCTATAAATATAGCAAACCATTGTATCAAAAGTGAAGAATGAATAAGAATAACTCTCCCCCTCTCTTCTCTTGTGTCTTTCCCTCTCTAATCTTCTCTTGTAGTTGTTTATATTTTCATTAGTTTCATAACACGTTATCAGCACGAAGCTCTGCCAAAATTATCATTGCTCAAGCCTCAAAGACTCTCGACATAATCTTAGATATTGGATTAAGATCAAAATATGATCAAAGGTATGTAAATCTTAGATCCTTTCTTATCTTATTGTCTTATTCGTGTTGAGATTATCTCATTCCAATATATCAAGATGGGTGCTACTTCTCCAATCCATTGATATTTTATCACGTCGATCTATTTGGATTAACAAGAAAGTAATATAAGTGATGAGTTAATTTCTCAGTTCTCCGTGTTATCCTATTCTTATCAATCATACATTGATATGTAGAAAATGCAAGTTCCAAGAGTCCATATATTCCCCAGAAGTGGAAATTGAAGAATCCAAGGGCAAAGAAAGAAGTGGACATGGTAACAAGAAGATTGGTTTTGTATGTTACCATTGTAATGGAAAATTGCATTTGTCTCGTACCCGTTGTAAGCAAACCTTATTCTACCAAGAATCAAAGGGAAAAGCTAATTCATATACGCTCCTGCAATATCAATATTATGGAACATATTTTTTGTATTATAAGTTGGTATATTCTCCATTAAAGAAAATGATATCACTTGAGAAATTTTCATTTCCAGAAGTGAATGAAATAATCTATTCTCCGAAGTGAATGGAGCTATAAACATAATTATATATATGTTAAATGTATTGTTTGGATCTATTCACCAGAAGTGAGAAAAGAGGAGTAAAAGGAGAACTATAAATAAGGATGACACCACAATTGCATTATCAAAGTCATGATAACATAATGTACCTGTTGTACATAATAATGTATAATGAAATGCATATATAAATTTAAAATCACCTAGTTAGTGATAGTATTGTTCCAAATAAATCTTATTTAATTTTCACAATTGTAGTATTATGATTCTTATTTCTTTTATGTTTTATTGTGACGTTATTTTTCATGCATAATTTAATTTGATAACCTTTATCTAGAACAATTAACTTGATAAATTCATCATTTTTGTCTTAAGTTTGAAATATTCTCATTTATTACTTTCATTATGTTTTAATAAAGTATGAGTATTAGAAAAATTCCATATAAACTATATGGTAGAGTACATAAATAAGAAAAAGCTTCCGAAGAGCTTATGTTTGGTTACTTGAAGTAACTAAATTATGTACTCATGATAACTATTTGTGATGATATTCACTATGAATTTGTGTTTACTAAGAATGCATCAAATCATAAGTCCCAGGAAGGGTGGAATATGGTACAAAATATGGTAAAGCTTTAAAGGAGGTAATTTTGTGGCCCGAAGGAACCAAACTACCTAGTGATGATGCATTACTCAATTAAAAGGATATTCGTAAAATAAATATCTTATCAAGAAAATAGTGAAACTAATATTTGCATCACAAATTTGTACTACATGTATATTAGTACAATCAGTACACATAAAAGTGTAAACCAGAAGTTTACAAGATTTGATAACTTGATAATTGGTTGGTCCGGTTAGACCATCCCGGATCTTGATGTGAAAAAAGTTCTTTGAGAATTCACGAGAACATCATATGAGAAGTCAAAGAACTCTTCAACTAAAAGAGTTATTATGTCATGTTTGTTTTCAAGGAGAATAGAACAATTGATCATCGCTTGTATAAGAGTTGGCAAATCTCTTGAGATTTTATGGACGTGTATGTAGAACAATACATCAGTCATGTGGATCATTTGTGAATTTTATGGGTTGCTGCATCAAATGGATGATCACTTTTATTTTATCTAATCGCAACCCGATGTTTGCGAGATTGATTGCCTCACAATGGATACATTTTGATGGTTATCCAATAAAACATCACTTTGCTTAAGAGAACAAACTGAACAATCTGGTCTCTTGTCGAGGACATGCTAGCTGGCAAGTGATAGTATTGGTTCACATCTAACCAACCAGTTATCATAAGTTGCCCCTTTTACAAATGATTTTGGTAAAAAACCTAACATTTCTCATATGAGAATATCAGGGTGTGTCGCATACATCCCAATTGCTCCACCACAGTATCTTAAGTTGATTCTCGTTGGAAATCGAGAATTTGTGTTCTTTCTTTGTTTGCAAGGGTTCCAACCTGTAATTTCCTAAAAACGTGGCTACCACCTAGCAAAGGTTTTGAGGGAGCGCGGATCTTACCGACCATGCCGGGAGCAGATGTCTCAAGCAAGTCTCATCCGGGGGGAGGTGAGTAAGGGGGCTGGAGGTAGTAGGTGGAAATTGAAAACGGATTCCCGTCTCCCCTTACACACACTTTCACCGATTGCCACATGGGGGACATTTGGAGACATTATTTTGAAAGCACAGTTTAGAGTGCCTTTTTTCAAAACATGATACAAGAGTCCATGATACGTAGAGAGTCATCGATACCACACGATTTCAATGTCCTAAGATCACTAATTTTCACAATCAACCATTACAATATGAAGAAGAAAGGAAACATCTTAATGCATCAACATCCTCCATAGTGCTACAATTACCTCCCTAGGTTGCATAGTACTATAAAGACTGTCAATTCAAAGCATACCGAGCAGGCAATTGCACGAAACACGTACTTGGAGCCCTCAAATTAAAGATTTGGACAGTGTACTAGGCTCTAAATACATAAACACATATATACAGTCAAATAGAAACACCTTCACACTTAAGATCGACATTACCCTCAATGGAGAAGAGAGAAGGATAAGGGGGAATGATGTTACCGAATAAATGGATTGCAATAGGACTGAAAAGTGGACCAGTCATCAAGGAAGATTGGAAGTGGGACTAGTCGTGGCAAGAACAAGGGCTAAGACAAAACATCCACTCGAACAC